CAAGGGTATACCAGATTATACTTGTCGCATTAATTGATGATAAAAATTATCATTGGAAAATATTCGTGTTAAAAATGCCGTCAACACTTAGATGATTTCATTACGACTTCACGTTATGATTATTATTGGTTTTTATACCGACCAAAAGAAAATCCAACAAATCTACTTATTTCAGAAGTCTCTTGTTGCAATCAACATCACCACTGATACTTAAACTCTAGCTATATCAAGCTTATATCACAGATAGTGATTCTATATCTCCTCATCCCAACACAATTACAGAACGAACTAGACAATCAGTACATATGTCACTGAAATGGATACCATGACTGATCGCGTGAGAAATGCATTAAGTGCAATCAATTACATTTGTGATCAGGAATGGTATTTCGGATGCAGAAGAGTAGATAGGAAATAAGAGGAGGATGTAAAGACAAATTAAAATATTAAAGAAATAATTGTAAATAGTTTTATTAAATATTGATTGTAAAGTCGCATTTGTAAGTGATGAAATTAAATAATCTAAATAAAGGTTGAAATGGTCCCTTAGGAGCGTTATGCTTCGTTTTGCTTTATTAAATAATAAGTTCCCATATGATACATAGTTCATAATATTATACCAACACTATGCCCAGTAAAACACTATAAACCCTTATAAACATCGTTGTTTGTTCAAGTTCTTGATCACTTGACTTATCCTACTCGCCTTCGTTGACCCCGAGTAACCAAGAGCTTTAATCACCCACCAGCCAAATCTAACACCCTCTTTCGAAAGGTTACCTATCGTTGGTTATACTAGATTCTGAATTGTGGAACAGTTTTCCGATCACGACACTATATTCATATGATTGTTTAATATTATGTAGATATAATAAATTGTAGAAATTCAATATTAGCGGAGATAGTAAAAAAGTCCACTGTTCAATTACTTTTCACCAACCTGGTATAAATTTTTTACTTATTGGAGGATTAGTAGAGCCAAACGCTTATATGTCAGACTCCGAGTTTTATGCTCTATCCAAGTTCGTCGTTTATTGAAGGGTCTAATACACTTTCTTATAATTATCATGTACATAATTACTATGTTCGCGGGTTTTATCATGAGGGGCTAATTTTCGTAGATCATCTCATCATATAAAGTCTTACTAAAGTAACGATTTTCCGTCACAAGAATGAAACTGTAGGGGTTACAACATAAAAATCACCTTCGGCTCTACAATTTACCAAAGTAATTTGGTAATTGGCAAGGAATTCGGAAGTTAGATGAGAGGTATATTTGAGCGTTTCAATTTGGCAAATATGTATAAATATAAAATTTGCAATATATTAAACTTGATAAATAACAGTCTTTTCAAAAAGTTTATATCACTAATCTATTTTATTTATAATTTATTTATTATTCTAAAGACAGATACGTACTGCCAGTAAAGTAAAATAGTAATACGTGAACTTTATAAGAGATTAAGATTAGAGATCTTTTTAAATGCACGCATAGGGACCAACCTTTTAACAACAGGTATTAGAGAACAATAGGGAAAACTGAAGATCAGAGATATATTTGGGCCAGAAATTGAGTGTATTTAGAGAGGTTGTGTGTTTAGAAAGTGCGTTCTTAGGGAAGTCTACCTGTATTTCTGTATTTAGAATTAAGGTTATAATTCGGTGTTATTAGTTATTGATATTATATATAATTAAAAAAAATTTTTATACCCTATATTATAGGTTTTAGCTTTTGATTTGGAGCTTTTTATTTCTTTTATTATTAATTTTTAAAATTTTTTTTTTAATTCGTACGAGATGATGGTCTTAAGTTTAAAGTTACTAAGATTTCGTAGTTAAATATTTAAACTGCATGAATAAATGCATTGCTATTAAATCTTACGAATGATTTTGATTAACCAATAATATTTTTCCATGTGACGGGTGATTTACAAAAATCACATGAAGCCCGTTCGCTATGTTAATTAATTATATTCACTATGTACACTATGTGGACATATTCAACAAGCGAATTATGTTCCATATGTATGTGAAACACGTTCACTACATACAAAATGTACACTATGTTAACTATCGCTATGTACAAAATGTACACTATTGTGAGCCACAGGACTGTAATCGTGATCGGTGTGGCGTAGAACGAATTAACGGCTAATGTTGATCATCCACCTAAAATGTAATGGCATTATACATTGTATTCGTTGTATACTCTGCATCGGGTTTTTAACGGATATGTAATATATCACGGATAAGATGTATAATTTATTCTAAGTAAATGTAAGTATATAATAAAGGCGTTTCGCCCTAGAAAAAATAATCATTCATGATTCAATAACTTTGTATCTCAATATATAATTACATAATTCCCTACGTTATAATTAAATACTTACATCCTGATCTAAGTGGCATAAGTAGTACGATCTCGTTCTTGTAATCTTGCTTTCTTAATAAATGTAAAGTATACCGTTACTCTGTCCGGTTGATTCTCGATGTATTGAGGACTACCGTGGTTGTTTTCCAACTCTCCCAACGTACTGTGAACAGTTGTGGTTATTGTATTCTGGTTTGAGGTCCAAGAAGAAGGTCCCGGTCGTGGTTTAGTTAAAATAATTGAGAATATAAAGTATAAGCATTATTGTATATTATCAGAAGCTAATCGGCACAACAACGAATAGAAGAAATGCAAAGAATTGTCGCTTCGAGTTGATGTCGCATAATGTCACTCAAAAGTTTGATGAGGTGGTTATGCTTTGGCACAGGTTAAGGCAGCTTTTAATCATGTTACCAGATAAGGACAGGATCTTCAAAGAGCGGTTATTATTTAGTTGGTAAAAGGATCCTTTATTAACAAAATGATTATGTAGGGGCACACACTCCGTTTTACAAGAGGGAAAATTTCACCTTCATTTATAACAAAATTGCCCTAAGAGGAGCACATGTAACCTTTCTTCCTTATTTTCATTGAATTTCACCTTGTTTCACTTTATTTGAGTTAACTTTTTTTAACCCTTCCAACATAGCCTTTCATCTTTCATGGTCTAAACAGAACAAAAGAGAAATGTTTCAGTGCCACTTTTCCCGTGGTAAAATCCCAACATTGTTACCACAATCGCACTCTATTTTGCCACTGCTTACACTTATCTCAAATAGGGTAAAATTGAGTCAACGTCCATTCCCAGCCATCACTGTGCGAACAGATAAGCCTTGATCAACCTTTCCTTTATTGGGTGTGGCTTCCACGTTGAGGCTTGATGTACGATCTTTCTTCAATCGATCGAGGTCTGGCGCATATGAACTACCCCAGTGGCACCGACAGATTTTCACTGATCGACAATTTTTTAAAGCCATAAAACAGTACATTAGAGTCAGGTTTATAATCATAACGATACATGTCTTATACTAAAATTTTGCAAGGAAATTTTTTTACTAAAGCGCAGAAGATGGTTACATAGGCGAAATTTTGAGTTATGGTGGTTTTTTTAAAAAATGTTAGTTTTTTGTTTTGATTTCACGTTACACCTGATCTTGTAATCTAATTGGTCAATCGCTGTCGATCAGTGAAAATCTGTCGGTGCCACTGGGGTACTTGGCGCATATGTTTCAGGTGGATCGTCATGCGTACTACCGATTTGGTAATGAGGCTAATGAGGCCACTATGATGATCCTTTTTTATAAGTTGGCTGGCGTACGATTTTACCTATGACTGTATTATTCGGTTTCCTATACAAGTTAACCCCACTCGCCAAATAAAACTGCCTCTTATCGACTAACGCTAAGCCCGTTCGAAGGTTACACGACATCCTAGATTGTGGAGCGACTGACTCGCCGTTTAGGGTTGTCACTATGTTCACTATCGCTATCCATATTTGGTAGATTCGACACAAGCCACCTTAACACATTGGACATAAGTCAAATTCAGTAACGGCTTATTTTAAGTTTCAGCCACATGCATAAAACAGATCTTATTAAGTACATATTATTCTTGGGGTATCATTCTATGCCCCCCACTCTATTGAAATTGATAATTTAAGAAATTTATTTTTAATCGGCTACTAATTTATGCATGGAGATTGAGGTTTTTAATTTCCTGCACCGTATGACATTACGGTATTACAGCATATAACGTTAATATTTATGGCAATCCGGTACTACACCGTAATTAACTTTATCATTAGTAAATGTCACAATGCTGACCAACTATAGAAAGATCTCAAAATCTCATAAACATCTAATAAACATCTAATCATATTAAGAAAATAATATAAAACACTTGTTTCTTTTGTAGGTATTTATTTTCGCTAAAAATGGATTCTGGTTCTAAATATAAAAAAAATACAAAATGTTTATAGTATGAGTAACAGAAATTTGTAAGTTTTATAGTGTTAATGATAAAACTACAATAATCAAATCAAACAAGAAAAATCGTATGTAGGTCAAGAGAGATAGGCAAAAAACAAGGCTACTGTATTGTGTTCATGTGTTAAATAAAAATCTCGGTCTCACATAGAGAACAACAAAATTTCGTTATTATTGTTTTTTTGGAGAAACAAAAAAACTGGCCAAATTGTAAAATGGTGTAATATAGCTTCTTTTTAAATTAAGCGTCTAAATATTAGGTTATTGAAAAAAATATATATAGACAAATTAGAATTGTATATTTAGCGACTTCATTCTGTTTGAAGTCTCACAATGAGAACTCATTGACAAAAAATCGCTGTTAAAACATCCTAGTTTTAGTATTTATAATGATTTTTGGCTTGCGTATACATGTAAAGAATGCCAAAAAAATAACTATTTTTAGTATTTATAATGATTTTTGGCTTGCGTATACATGTAAAGAATGCCAAAAAATAACTATTTTTAGTATTTATAATGATTTTTGGCTTGCGTATACATGTAAAGAATACCAAAACTTTAAAATTTTCAAAAATTTCAAAATCACATAAAATGGTTAAAAATTTTCTCAAATCTTCAATTTCTTTACCGGATCAACGATCAATATGTCGGCTTATCAGGAAACACTCAAAAAAATCTTTGGACCTTCGAAATCTACTACCCCTTCAACATTCACTGTGGTATAATAGCTAGTTATACTTTTTTCATATATAATTCTTATATAAAATGTAAAAAAAGTTTTTTAATGGCTTTTATGTAATTTAACATTTTGAACTAGTTTAACCAAGAAGATTTAGTTGAAGCCGCTAAACTCACAAAGGTTTATTATGTCAAAGCCAATAGTAACTCAATTCAAGCAGCACTTGACCAAGCTGTCGAAGATTGTAAAACAAAGGATGTAGATATGGTTCATTACGCTGTAATGACTTTTATTTCTCATTATCCCGAAGCTAGAAACCAAGGACTTCGAGTTCCATCTTTGGCCGCTCGTCATCCAAACCTTTTTGCTCAAATTGGAACGGCTCCAGGTGATGAAAAACTTCTTGATTATTGGCGTGAAGATCCTAATTTGAATGAACATCATGAGCATTGGCATATTTTATACACTAATGTACCAAAGCCTGAGCCAACTAAACCTGACGAGACTTATATGAAAGATCGATTCGGTGAACTTTTTATTCATATGCATAGACAAATGAATGCTAGGTGATTTTTATTTCTCATGAATAAGTGCACCTTTAGTTACGATTTTATTAAAATTACTTATAATAACTATTATTAAAATGATTTAGATATATTGCTGAACGTCTTAGTATTGGTTTAGATGTTACAAAACCTTTGGAAGATTATAATGAGATTATTCCGGAGGGTTATACTCCTCCAATAAACTTAAAATCTCGAAGGAGTCCTACTTATGCCGCTCGTTCTACTGGTAAACAAATGATTTTGAGTGATGCTAGTAAGCATTTAATTTTTACTTTTTTTATATTTTTTTTATGTAACCATGTTTTAATATTTATAAAATATTAATATTTCACTTATATATCTTTAGTGTTGAATACGCAAAACGGTGATGATCTTACTGTAGCTAAAGTGTCAAAAGCCCGTGATCTTATTAAAAAATCTATTGAAACCGTAACACCACAAAATGGTGGTTACTTTTTGGACGAAAATAATAAACAAATTGAACCAATTGTTGCTGATAAGCTGGGTCTTGCAATTGAATCTGGTCTTAAAGGCAGATACGCAAACCTTAACATGTATACTCCTTTTCATATGGCTGGACATATAATATTAGGGAATCTTACAGATCCGGGCCGTAAGTATCAAAAATGCATTATTATTATTATAAATATAAATTTATTTTCTGAAAATTTTTTGCTCATTTAACCTATTTTAGAGAATGGCAAAGGTGTAATGGGTGATGTTCGTGTTGCGTGCCGAGATCCAATTTTCTGGAGATGGCATAGACATGTTGATCAAATCTATCGACGTTATCAAGAAAGACTAGGTCTAAATCATTTTGACGACTCCCCACCCGTAAAGATTTCATCTGCAGATATTTCTCTCGCTTTCAAAGAAAATATAGCAAAAGATATAAAAAATCTCAAACAATTAGTGGACCCCACACAAGATGAAACTGTAACGAAATGGGGTCAATCCCATTTTGGTTCTTATTCTACCACTGAATTACAAACTAAGATGGCAAAAAGGAATTTTACTTGGACTGAAGATGATGAATCTACCCAAGAAATTCAATACATTTTTCCAAAAGAATGGTATGATTTATTATGTTCTTGATTTTCTTTTAATTTATTCTCTTTATTAATCTTCTTTCTTCATGAATAAACTCAGGTATTATTTCTTCCGTGTTGAAAATACTTCTAATCAGGTAAATATTATTTTATCTCATTAAATAGGCTATTTAATTTTATATAATTTTACATAATTTTACCTAATTCTATATAATTTTATATAATTTGTAATTTTAATCTTATTTCTTATATTTATTGTCCTCTAGAACATCACTGTCACTTTCCGTGTCTTCATTGCTCCTATTCAACGATGTAATGAATTTAACGATTGGATCGAAATGGATAAATTCAAACAAGT